GTTTCAGAAATTGTGTGACAAGTAAAGATTTTGTGTGTAAGAAATTGAAAAAAACTGTAACATGAAATAAGGAAAATGAGAGAAAGGAGAACATGTTATGACATGTAATCACATGTTTTGAGATTAGTGCCCAGAAATCCGAGTGTATTAGCCACATTGCATATTAAAAAAAAACCTCCAGGGATTGACTAATAATAATAAAAAAAAAGATTCTTGATCAACTGTGAGTGCAAACAAGACACTACACAATATAAATGTATAAGTACTCTTTGCTTTATTACAGTTTTTAACAATCATTTTGTCACCAATTTCAGAACCTTTATGTCATTTTTTAAAACTCTAGACACAAAGCTCAAAACTTTTAACACAGGCTGTCCAATGTTAAAAACTTTGCATATTGCATTCATATCTTTAAAGAAGCCTTGCATTCGCAGAAGCATTGGTTTAAAAAACACATTTATTATGGAACATTACTTTAGATCCCCCACACAAAATATACCCATAATTTCACTGTGTAGTTTTTAGTACAATCATTTACAGTAAGGAAAGGGGAGTATGGTGGTAGATAAGGTGATAAACTGTGGATGGGCCTGAAACCATGATTGCTCTCAGTGCCGTTGCGAGGAATTCTGGGCCCATTGCACTGATTTTGCTATGGGGTCCCCTCAAATTCACATTCAGTGGGGGGTGGTCGGGCCCCCCAGCGAACATCGTTCTGGGCCCCTCTCAACCATGTCATGGCCAGGGTAAAGCCTGCCTCATCCAAAAATATGAATGGTTTTCATCAGCTTCCAGCTCTACCACCCTCTAAATTTACTGTAGGAGAAACAAATGCTGATAACAATGATATATAAAAAAAAATTATCCTAGCAACAGGCATCTTGAAACCGATCATACTCAGTCCTCAGTTGCTTCACTTTCATAATCTAAACATTTAATATTGTTCATCACTTTCCATAAAAACTATGCTTCAAGAGTAATGCAACAGTTATGTAGCATTTTGAGCAGTTGTATTAATTGATAGTTAGATCATTGTAAAGAAATTAATAGACACTCAATTCAGATGTAATGTGCGAGTTGCATTTTGAAATAGTAATACTTTGATGTTAAGTTGTGTCA